AAGTCCCCCCAAAAAAACAACCCCCCCCCCCCAAAACCAAACCTGGAACCCTAAGGCTGGGTTCACACCTGGGCGTACCATAGGCGTGTTTTTTCAGCGCGTTTTGTAGCACGTTTTTTAGTTCTGTGAAATGCGCATTCAACGCTCGTTTTTATTCCTCCCTGGCGGTATGATTTTTTTTTTTTTTTTTTCCTTTTTCCTTTATCTTTTTTCGTTTTATTTTTTTTATTTTAACTTTCAAACTTCCCGCTGGTTCCGCCCCCCCAGCGACGCGGACGCTTGCAAGGGACGGAACCCGGAAGACGGCAGCGGCCAGAGGACACAGCGGGAATCGCGGACAAGGTAAGACCTTATGCTGTATTCCTGAGTGTGGCTCGGGGGTTAGCGCTTTGTTGACCCCGATCCACACTCGGGAATATCAATGGATACGCACAGAAAAATGCCCCAAAAGAAGCTCCTGTACTTGTTTTGGGCGTTTTTCAGCGCGTTTCCACAGGCTGAAATACGCCCAGGTGCGAACCATGCCCATAGGAAATGATGGGATTTCTCAGCACTTAACCAGATACAAATCAATGTTGTGGATGAAACGGCTACTAAATAACATTAAGTCTCCTCTGTGCACCTTTGTAGAAACTGATCTGAATAACATTTCATGAGCTTTAGTCCGGCAGGTGAATGATTATATATAGATATAGATATAGATAGATACCGTGTTTCCCCAAAAATAAGACCGTGTCTTATATTTTTTTTTTCACAAAAAAAGACACTAGGTCTTATAAGCTGCGACCGTGACATGTAAAATTCTATTATATTTCTATTCTATTTTCGGGGTAGGTCTTACTTTCGGGGAAACACGGTAGATATATATCGATATAGATATATAGAGATAGATCTCTCTCTCTCCCTCTATCTATATATCTATTACACATGCATGCATACATACCGGAACTGTGTTATCCACAAAAGATTTGTAATCCATTTCCGGCAACCTTTTGATTACTCCTGCCAGACAGCATGGCCAGCTCATAGACCTCCACTGCAGGTTGGTCAAGCACGCATCCCCCTACGCCTGCTGATTGGCCAGTGAAGGAGAAGCGGCACGCTGATGGGTAACTACTTTGCTCACCTTTTTACTCTCCTCCTAGCAGCATGTTCATGGTTGGCACTTGTGCACTGCGGTGGAGCCTGATTGGCTTATAGAGCTTTCCCCTCCCTCTTACAGTCTGATTTCAGGAGCCTAGATCAGTGTTTCTCAACACTTAGTTTAGGTCACGGCATCCTTTTAAAAGTATGGAAAATTGTGAGGCACCCCGAACTAAAAACCACATGTGGCCCCTACAAATTCCATACCAGACCCTTATTGGAGTTGGGGGTCTGGTATGGATTTTAAGTGAAGACCCCCAAGTAGAAAAAACTTCATACTTTTCTGAATGGACCTCGGCCCCTGCAGAATGGAGAGGCCTAATCCTGCGTGAACATTTTGAGGTACCCCTGAAGAAGCCAGAAAGCACCCCAGGGTGCCATAGCACCCTAGATGAGAAAGGCTGCCCTAGGCAAATGGCTACAACCCCCATAACTGCGATAGATGGATCTATTCATCCACTACTCTGGGGGGCTTTCCATGAGGTTTAGGAGGGCGCCTGTGGGAATTTGTGTCCATTTGTGAGGTCAGGTACTGATGTTGGGTGAGAAGACACAATAGACTTTCCAATTCGTGTAGGGTTGAGGTCCGGAGGGTTGTGCAGGACACTCGAGTTCCTCCACCAAACTGGTCACACCATGTCAGTATGGAGCTGGCTTTGTACACGGGGGACAGTCATGGTGGAACAGAAAAGGGTCTTCACCAAACTGTGACCACAAGTGCACAATTTTTCTTTTCAGGTGCCATCAAAATTGCAATTTTCTATGTAAAAAAAATTAAACTTAAAAGAGAACTATGAGGTAAGTGTTTGTTTTCCCCCATAGTTCTCTTATACTAACCTCCTCCCGTGACCCAAAGCTCAGTATATAGCCGGCTATTGCCCGCTATATGCTGACAGCGCAGAGCCGAACTGCAGCCGGGACGGATCCCGACAATATTCTTGGGATCCACCCCACTGCCTGATTGACAGCTGGCTCTGCCTATCTAGAGGTAGAGCCAACTGTGCCCACCCCCTTGCCCGTCCGTTCCTCCAGTCAGCGCTGGAGGATTATAGATGGGACGCGGAATCACTGCGGGGAGCGGTGACTGTCAGTCACCTCACACTGCAGGGAAGGGAGCAGATCGGCGGCATGTTTCTGCTCACTTCCCGATCGATAGAGCCGACCTGTGACAGCTTCTTTGTCACAGGTCGGCTCTAACTATGAGGATGAGTGGAAATTGCTCTCCTCATAGATCTCCTATTAAATATAAAATAAGATGTCAATCAGCAGGACATACGCTGTTATTTTGGAGGTCTTCCTATAAGGGCTCTCTTGTGTTTGATCGTCTTGTGTGTGGACTACAGATGAGCGGAGTGATTTTGGTGGAAACCTCCCACTTCCCCGATCCTTGGTGTGGAAATGTCACATTGTGTTCCAATCACTGTATGTACTAAAGGCCGGCACACTTGTCCGGTGTATAAAGTGTCTCCTTGCTTCTAATGCTGGGCGCACACCTTACAACCATCGCAAGACTTTTGTCTTGCGACGGTTGTAAGGTACTTAAAAAAAACGTACGATCTGCCTATCTTGGACAGGCAGATCGAAAGCCGCGACCCCTCTGATGACCACAATGCCGAACGGGCAGTGTGCGCATGCTACACACCCGCCGAACATCGTACGATTCTCGGCGGGTTTTCAATAGACTTGTGCGCCGTCAGAAAATTCGTTTCGGAATATCCGTTATTTCGTAATTCGTGTCCAAAACTCAATTCGGATTCGTAAAAAAAAAAAAAAAACTACCATCAACTCCAATATATTAACAAAGGTATTTTTGCTTTTTAACTTCATCATAGCGAATGTTCGTAACGGAATTTCGTATTTCCTGCCTGTGTATTGTAATGCAACTCTCAGCAGCAGCGGATCCGTATTTCGGATGTTGTTCAACCTCATTTACAGGGGTAATATCAGTTCCCGTTTCAATGAAATTCGGATCCGGAATTTCGTATTTCGGATGCAATTCGGAAACTGCAATTCGGATTTCGGATGCTTCCGAATTTCAGGAAATTCGTACCAATTTCAATTCGTAACGAAACAAATCGCACATGTCTAGTTTTCAAACATGTTCGTAAGTTAAGTCGTGCGTCCTTACAGTAGTAGAGGTCGCACGGCTTCCACACACCTTACGATAATCGTACGATCACGGGATTTCCCGCGATTATCGTACGATTATCGCAAGGTGTGTGGGGACCTTAAAGGAGAACTATGAGGGGGGGGGGGGGGGTTTTTTTCACTCACCTCATA